CACTTTAAGATGAGTGGACTTCAACTCCCAGAATTCTGGGAGTTGAAGTCCACCTGTCTTAAAGTGGCCAAGGTTGGACAACACTTCTCTAGATGGTAGTCCTGGTCGATTATCACACTACCTGCAACATTTGAACTGTAGGGTGCTAAAAGCTTCGTATTATCTCCCAAGCTTTTAAACATTTATATGAAACCCTCAGAGGTGATCATCTAGGAGTGTAGAGCTGGGTACAATTTATATGCAGATGACACTCACGTCACCTTCTCCTTTCCTCCTTTATCTAATGTCAGGCTCCCTGATGAGCTCCTGCTTGGGCTAGATTGCAACTGGATGAGGTATAGGAAGTAAAAACGGAATCCGAACAAAACAAGGAAGCTGGTGCTTGAGACTTTATCTTCACTAAACAGGATTATTTACTCTCCCTAAAGGAGCAAGTATGTAGTTTGTGGGTGCTTTTTGATCTTACATTGTCTTTCAGTATTCAGGTCAGTTTGGTTAGGGCAACCAACCAATTTCCATGGTGTGCCCAGTCTGAGTCTGGACCAAAAGAGCTCCTAGACCTAGAGTTGTTCAGCCACCACCCATGAGAGTTGGAGTTGGAAAGTCAAGAAACAAGGAACCTGGGAATGGAATACATCATTTTCTAAACAAGGGACATGTGCAAGGTTAGCATGGGAAAAGTTGACAAAAACTTTTTTTTTTTTTTTTTTTAAAAAGACAGTTAGGACGAAGTTTAGGATTTCAATCTTATGAAACCCATATAAGTATCACCAGATTCCTCACTAGTCAGGAATGGTTCTTCATCTTTCTGTAGTTGCTTGGTTTTCAACATATCTAAGTTGGGTCCAGATTTCCAAGTTCTAGAAAGAAAACTATTGTAAAGAGGCTAAGGGACAACTACCTGACACCACCACTCAACCATTCTGGCTAGAAATAGTAAATTTCAATGGGCTTATAATTGTTAAGAAGGGAAAGAACTTACAGATTTTTTTTTCAACAGGGGGACATCCCTGCCTCAAGGCAGATGGTGCCACCCCAGCTGAGAGAGACATTAATAATCAAACATAAAACTTCCACCAACAGATCCGTTCCAAGCAGTAGCAGCCAATGGGTTTTATAAGTAGTAGCCTGTAAGAGAACTCCCAGAGTCTGAGAAAGGGAGTAGTTTAAAACATATCAGTGTTTTATCTCTTAAAAAAGTCCTTAGTCCTTCAGTTAGAGTATGGGAGAAAAGTTCAAACAGCTCACAGAGACCCACCTTAATCTATAACTAATAAGTGAGGGCTGGAGTGTTACTTAGTTTCCAAGATTTTGTATTTTAATTCATCCCCTCCCCACTTTTTTCCCCGTGGCATTAAACCTGATCAATGAGACTCTATGTGAATATTACTTCCTTGGTGCATTGCTGTTTAGGGGCTGTTATTCAAGCACTCTGTTGAAATCCTCAAGGTGTACAGAACTAAATTGATCCAATAAAACTTGAAAAGCAGGTGTACTGGCACCTTCCCTATCACCAATAATGGAATCATCAATCAGACAGCAGATATGAGCAACTGTTTGATAAAAAAAACCTCCTTTATATATAACACCTTTACAGTTTGCCACCGAAGTCTCAAGAAGGCTTTTCACGACTTTTTAGGCTGCGCCACCTGGAACAGCTTCTTCGGGCAATTTTCAGTAGACATAACAGAGGTAGAAAAAGATACCTCTCCTTCTCCCTTAAAGCCAAATGTGCTTTTTAATGCTCTTTGAGCTCTGCTTAGTCACTCTATGATTTCCACCACTGGCACTCTAATATTTTGACCTGAAAATGGATGGATGAATTATATTTGACAACAAAAAAATTGTTTGCATCAACATGCATCTCTTAAAGTGTTCCAGAAACTGCTAAGTAGATTACTAGGGAATTAAAGAATACATGTTTAAATTCAATGTTAAAATCTATTTATTATTATTTGCAGAGCTCTTAAGTTGGTTCAACATTGTGTGAGAGATAGTCCTAATTGATTCCTCTGCCTACATCTCCAGTTAATGAACTTCAGGGAGCAGGGTTGTGATAGTTCTTCACTTGAGACCATGCAGTTTCTGGAAGAGCTGCTAATTTTAAAATGAATTGCCACTAACGAGGCTCCATATAAGGCTGCTTTTTATATTCCCAGAGATAATTGTGCCAATCATTCTGAAGGCAGATTAGAAATACAACCTTGTGTGTCTCTCCATGAAAGAGCTTCTTGAATTATTTATATTATCATATACCAAATTCTTAAGGTGACCAGACTATATTCAACATAAGTAGACTTCTACCTGTGTAACTTTTCCACTGATTACTTTAGAGCAGTGTTGGCCACTTTAAGATGAGTGGACTTCAACTCCCAGAATTCCCTAGCCAGCCATGCTGGCTGGGGAATTCTGGGAGTTGAA